GGAGGGATTGTAAGGATTAAATGAGTTACTACATCTCAAGTTCTCAATGCAGTACCTGCACATGGTAAGCACTCATTAACTATTGATAATTATAATTGATTATTATGCCTTTTAGGTAAGTTCTGATAACTGATATGGTAATTCCCCTTCTTTATTTTCTTTAACTTCTTTTAGCTACTTTTGTTTCTTTACTCTTGCATATGAATTTTAGATTTAGATACTGAAACATAACTTCCTATATTTTGAATTTTTTATTGGAATAAACTAAATATATATATTATGTTGGGGACAAATGAAATCTTTATATTTAACCTTTTCACTCATGACCACATGACATTTTCCTATTTGTTTTATTGTCTTTGGGTTTTTTTAAATTATTGTTTTTAATAATTTAATTTTCATCTCCCAGATATACTTCATTTTTGTTGATCTTTTGGAAGAGGTCATCTATTTCTTTTTTTTCATCCTCACCCGAGGACATGTTTTTTCATTGCTTTTAGTGAGAGGGGAAGGAAAGGAGAGCGAGAGTGAGAGAGAGTGAGAGAGACACCGGATGGTAACCTTCTTGTACTCGCCCCTACCTGGGATCGAACCTGTAACCTGGGTACATACCCCGACTAAGACTTGAACCCACGAATTTCAGTCTAGGGGACAATGCTATAACCAACTAAACCATACCAACCAGGGGGCTTTGGGTTTTTAAATGACATTTTATGATTTCCCTATAAAGATTTTTTGTATCTTTTGTTGGATTAATTCCTCAGTACCTTATAAGGCTTTTTTTCTTTTGGTTATTTTAATCAATAGTATATATTAAAAAAAAACATTTTAAACTAATTGTTGTAGGTGATGAGCAATAATTACTTTTTCTATACTAACCTTAAAAGCAGAAACTTGCTGAATGTTTTTATTATTTCTGGGAGTTTATCTGTAGATATTCTTGTTTTTTTTCTTTTTAAAATATATTTATATATTTTTAGAGAGAGAATGGGAAGGAAAATCAAAATGGATTTGATTCTTGGCTTCGCTGACCGCCCCCCCTCCCGGCCCCCACTCTACTGTTGTTTCCCTGTAATTGTTCTTTATTTCAATTAGTGTATCCTTCATTTCTGACAGGATCTTTTTTATGCTGCTGAGGTCCTCATTAAGTTCCTTGAGCATCCGTATAGCCAGTGTTTTGAACTCTGCATCTGATAGATTGCTTATCTCCATTTTGTTTAGTTTTTTTTTTTTTTTTCTGGGAGTTTGATCTGTTCTTTCATTCGGGCCATGTCTCTTTGTTTCCTCATTTTGGCTGCTTCCCTGTGTTTGTTTCTATGTGTTAGGTACAGTTTCTATGAATCCCTGTCTTGGTAGTGTGGCCTAATGTTGTAGGTGTCCTGTAGGGTCCAATTGCACAGCCTCCCCTACCACTCAGGGGTAACACTTGAGGTGTGTCCTCCCTGTGGGCTTAATACACTCTCCTGTTGTAGTTGAGCCTTGATTGCTGTTGGCAGGTCAACGGGAAAGATTTATCTAGGTTATTCAGCTGCATGGACTGACTGTCCACTGATCACCAACCTCCTCCCTCCGTGGAAGATCAGCTGTGCAGGGGCAGGGCAGCCGTGCTCTGACCTGGTCTGTAGCTGTCCACTGGGTGTGCAGGCTCTGGGATTTCCTGGGTGCTGCTGAACAAGGTCGACCCCCACCTGTGTTCTGCTGAGGGCCACCCTGCATGAGCTACAGAGCCGTCTGAGTTGTGCTGGCCTTGGAAATTCCCAGGAGAAGCCAAGCTGTAACCCTAGGCTGGCTGTTGCTAATGCCCGGCCTGGGGCCATTTAGCAAGGGGTAGGGGGGCTGAGGGCTCACTGAGGCCAGCTGTTGCTTGTCTGAGAGGATTTATGAAGTTGTGAAGCATAAGGCAAGACCAACATTTCATATGGAAAAGCCACCGTTGACAGCTCAGTGGGCTTGTAATCGGGTGGGACAGAATCTCAGGGGACTTCTTGGGCAAGGCAAACAGTGTTAGCCAGTTTGATGGAGTCTCAGATATGGCCTCTGCCTGCTGGCTCTGTGGCCATGTGTGAAGGGCACAGAAAAGAGAGAATGGCCTGTGTCTGACTTTCTTTCTGGGAGAAAGCTGTCCCCAGCTCTTGTCTTGATGCCAGACACTTAGGTCCTCCCTGTGTGCCACTGGTGCCTTTCAAGCTGCTCACAGTGCCGGAGCTCAGGGGAGTGAGTCTGAATAAGTCCCTATGTGGTTCTGATAGGGAACTCCAGAGTTGGAAAATTTTAGTTTAAGGTAAAAAGTTATATGCCTAGTAAGTAATGCATATGTTAAAGCTTTTGTTTAGAAACTACCCATCCTGGCTCCTGGGAAAACAGCTGACTTTCTGGGGCACTGCTAAGGATTAGTGTCTGGGCACAAGTGGAGGCATCTGGGCCTTTGTGTTCCAGGGAGAGACAGACAGGACGGATGACCAAGGACCCCTGGGAACAGCTAACTGCCCAGGACAGGAATGTTGCAGTTTCTTTCACCTAATCCTCCCTGAACTTCAAAGCCTCACCACACCTTGTTTATTCCCTGCTATAAAAGCCTTGGCCTGGAAAGAAAAGACAAGATGGTCTGTTAGGTTATGAACATGCCACCTTCTCAGATCACCGTTCATCTGAATAAAGCGCCCATAAAAGATTCAATTGCTGTCATTGCTTATTGGGTTTGGTAGTAACAGGCAGCCTGAACACCAATATCTTTTCCAGTTTCAGTTCTTTAAGAGGAACTCCTTGGGACTATGGAAGCTTTTTCCACCAACTCAATCCCTACCGGGTTTTTCAGCCAGAAGTTTTGAGGACTTATCTTCCTGGCACTGGAATTCTTAAAAATTTGTGTTTGGCTTTATATTAAAATATAGTTCTACTCTATTGTTCTACTATATTTTACATGGGTAGTATTGACCTTTTCCCATCATTTTACTATCGAGCTTTCAGGCTACTGTGTTAGGTCTTTTAAATGACATCTGAGTATAGCAGGATTTAAAAAAAATACTCAATCAGAAAATCTTTGCATTTTCTTTGAACTATTTAGTCCACTTATGTTGATTGAGATTATCGATATAACATATTTCATTGAGTATAAAATACCATGAACTGTAAATATGTCACTACTTCGTGTATTGCTAAAAAAGAAAGAATATGCTTCCAACTATAACTATATAGTTCCAACTGTAACTATTTAATGCCATCGGTTGTAAGACACATTCTGTTATGAGAGACAGCAAATGTGGAAAAAGCTTTTAGAAATATAACTAAACAAATATATAATTTTTTAGTCCTTATATTGGCATAGGTCCACAAGTCTGACAGTGTATTTGTTGGGAAAGCTTTGGAGAAACAGGTGGTTCTATATGTTACTAAGGAGAGTACAGACTGGCACAATCTCAGTGATAAGGAATTTAGTAATTTCAAGACCAATTACAGGTCGATTTGCTGTTTGGCTCAGCCATGCTTCCAGTAGGAATTGAACCTAAACAAAAATATGAGCAAAGATTTACAAAATGACTAGTAGGCCATTGGTTACAGTACTATTTGCAACAGTTTCAGTAAAATACTGAAAGGAAAGCAGGTGTTTATCAGTAGTGTCTTTGATGGTTTGCTGTGATGCATCCAACTAGTGGTGTTATATAAAGCTGTAAGGAAATGTCATGGAAGAGACCTGTATTGACATCGCTATCTGTAACTTTATCTGCATTAAATATATCTTGTTCAGTGGTTTGACCATGGAATCATGTAAATGTTTTACATTAAAAAGTTAAATTAAGAATAAAGGAAGAACAATCTAAAAACTAATAACAAGTAGAAACAAATACCCTAACTGATACCAAGTTGTCAGCATAACCACATAGAAAATAATTATTTTAAGTGACTTTAAATAATAGTATTTTGACTCTACATCTTGAATGGGGTATATCCTAAAGGCAAAAATAACCACAAAAATTTTGTTTAGATAAATTCATTAGTCTTATTTTTAGTAATATTACTGGTAATATTATTTTAAAAGTATAGACATGAATATATATATATAGTATACATAGGAGTATGTATGTAAAACTTAAGTAATTATGTGACATTCATTGGGAAACAAGATTTGTAGTACATACAAGAAAAATTGAATATAAATATAAAATAAAAGAATTTAAGTAAACTCCTGTAATCTTTAAAATGAGTTGGGAATATCAATATGCAATAATAGTTAAATACTTTATTTCTACAAATACTCATATTTTTTAGCTCTGTCCACTGAAACCTCAAGAGGCAATGGCTATCCAGTAGCAATGGGCACCTCTGGTGTCCGGATTAGATTCTCTAAATGCCATTTCCCAATGGAAGAAACCAGAGCTCTTTTGAGAAACTGCTGACTCCAGGTCTGGAGCAAGAAATACACAATGTGAGCCTAGGACATTTTGTTATGCCAGGAAGCAAGGAAGCATTCCAACCTCTGGTGTATAATTAAAAGCACAAGGCAAACTAGCCAAAGATGGGACTTAAGAGTTAAAAATAATAATAATGTCTCCAATGAATGACATGCATCAAACATATACATCCATGAGTTCAAATGAAATTGAAAGTAAATATCATACTTATCATTTTTGGAACATATAGGGTACCAATTTATTGTGAAAATGAATGAATAATAGCATTGTAAGCTTTTGTATATTGTCTTTCCTGTGTTACACATATTTCAGAGACACAAAATTGTTGAGGAAGAGTTCTTCATGGAAGAACTCCAGCTAACCACCTGGGGAAAATGATATAATTCCCTTCCCCTCAAATTGTTTTACTAATAAAATAATGGATCTGGGCATTGATCATCAATGGCTACTAATATGTGTACAGCTGATCAGAAACTTGACAAAGGATGAATCAAACTATCATCATCCGAGCCAAATGATCCATTTTTACCTTTTAAAACTGGGACAATCAGATACTTAGCTGATTGTCCCAGGTAGCAGGGGATCTACCAATGTCCCAGGTAGCAGGGGAGCTACCAAGATCACGAAGGTGCTTTTTCCAGGGTGAGGCTTACCGTTGCACTCTGGGTGTGCTGACTCCTGTCATTCCCCCGAAAGTGGGAAACTTGACTGCTTACTTTGTTGGTAATGGGGGACAGCGTTTGTGCTCTCCCCAGCTTAAAAAAAAAAAAGTGGGACAAACAGACATCATGTACCTTTTAAAAAATTTTAAAAAGATTTTATGCCCTGACTGGTGTGTCATCGCACAAAATGAAAGGTTGCTGGTTAGATTCCTGGTCAAGCCACATGCCTGGGTTGCAGTTGGTCAGAGCACAGGAGAGGCAACCCATGATGTTTTCTCCTCACAGCCATGAGTGGGGAAGGCAGGGTGAGAGAGACAGAGAAAACATCCATTGGTTGAGTTCTGTAGGTGCCCTGGCTGGGGATGAATTCGCAACCCAGGCATGTGCCCAGACCATGAATCGACTGGTGACCTTTCGTTTTGTGGGGTGCTGCCCCACCAACTAAGCCACACCATCAGGGCAGACATTGTGTGTATTTTGATGAGATGAAGTAGAAAGTACACAGTATCACCTATGAAGTATTTTTGGGGGGGAAAAAAGAAGAATAAAAACCACTTACTCTAAATCTGATTATATCTTTAGATCTAACTAAAGTTAATAGGAAATACCTGTTAACTGATACCGCATGAATGCGATCAGCTAAATTTGGAAAATAAATTCTGTAGGTTTTTCCAACAAATAAATGCCAATTAAATAGCAACAAAAAGAGTGGGGGGGACTATGATAGTCATAAGGAGATATAAAGGACATCAATAACATGTAGCATGTTTTTAGGTCCTGCTTTGAACAAACCAAGCCAAAAAAAAAAAGTTTGAAGCATTTAGGGAAAATTGAATACTATTGTTATTTTAACTAATGATGTTGTGGCTTATGTTTTCAGAGGCCCTTGACTGTTAGTGTTATTGGCATCCTATTGTGGAATATTGACAGATAAAGTAATATAATGCCCGTGTTTGCTTTAAAACAATTTGGCAAATTCTTAAAAATAGTGAGGGAATTAGATGAAACAAAAATGGCAAAATGGGGCCCTTGTTGAAGCTGGGAAATACCACACACGGAGTCACTGTATCCTTCTCTCTAAAGTAAGCCTGTCAGGACTGAGGACGCTCAGTTTTGTTTCGTACAGTGTGTAAACTGCAACAGAAGAAAATTCAAAAACACATTACTCCTTTGTTTTTACTTAATTTTGTCCCTTTCCTGTCTTCTTTTTTCTAATAGCGGTTTCTTTATTCCATTTCTCTCTGTCAGTTGGTTTTGAAGAATCCTGTTTTTATTCTTTTACTAGTTCAGGCTTAAACATGTGTACTTAGTAAAGTCTAATGTTAATTGATAGCTCTACATAGCTTCTGCTAGACAGCACCAGGTCCTGGGGATGCTCTAACTCCAGTCACTGCGCCCCACAGTTGTTGTCCAGGTGGTGAGTTCCATCTTGTTTTTCTGTCTTCTATGAGATGGCCAGTGTTTGGTTTAGATGTACTTAATGTCTACGATGTCTTGAGTCATTATTTCAGTGTTACTTTTATTTTGCTTTCAGTTTTCTGAATATATCTGTCATGAATATTTTCTTTAATGATTTATTAATGGTAAATATTTTGTCTTTGTGTTATGGACTGAATGTTTGTGTCTTCCTAAAATTTAAATCTTGAAGCCCTAATGCCCCAGAGTGATGGTATTTGAAGGCGGGGCCTTTAAAGGGAGGTAATGAGGGTGGGGCCCCATGATGTGATTAGTATCTTTATTTAACAAAGGAAGAGGCAGGGGATGGAGGGATCTGGTGAAAAAGAGAAAGCACACGTGGACGTGGGCAGCAGTGTGGTGGTTTGGCGGGAGGTGGAAGGAGAGTATAATGGGGGTAAATGGTGGTGGAAAAATACAAGAAAATAACTTTTTAGAAAAAGGAAGGGAGAACAGAGCACTCTTCCCCTCTCCCCCACCCTTACCCCTCCAAGTGTGGACACAGTGGAAAAGCAGCCGTCTGCAGGCCAGGAAGTGGGCTCTCACCAGGAGCCTAATGAGCTGGTAGCTTAACCTTGGACTTCACTGACTCTGGAACTGCGAGAAATAATGCCTTTCGTTTAAACACCCAGTCTTTGGTATTGTGTTATAACAGCCTGAATGGACTAAGACACTTTCCTTTTCCAAGTGTCTTTAATTTCATCCTAATTCTTGGATGACAATTGGGTATAGTATTTTTTTCTTTAGCCTTTGGAAAATAAGTATTCAACAGTCTTCTGTTTTCTGTTATTGTTGAAGAGAAATCTGCTATTGGTTTAATTGTTAATCCTTTGTTGGTAGTCTATATTTACTTAGTGTTTGTTTTAAGAATTTTTTCTAATTGGTGATGTACAGTCTAGAGATGGATTTAGTTTTATTTATCTTGCCCAGGAATTGTTGCATTATTTTAAAAAGATTTTATTTATTTATTTTTAGAGAGTGGGAGGGAGGGAGAAAGAGAAGGAGAGAAATACTGATGTGAGAGAGAAACACTGATCTATTGCCTCTCGTACAACCTCAGCTGGGGATCCAGCCCACAACCCAGGCATGTACCCTGGACTAGGATTGAATGTGTGACCTTTAGGTTCACAGGCTGGCACTCAATCCACTGGGCCACACCAGTCAGGGCTGTTGCATTTTTAAAAATTGTTTTCTTTCATTAATTTGGATAATTATCAACCATTATTATTTGAAAACACCCCCCCAATGTTTTTTGTTCTCTCATTTTGAAATTTTTATATTTTCTATTCCCTTGTTATTCTGTGCTGCATTGTGGAGTATTTCCTCAGATTTTCCAGAACATCTGAAAAAAGTGAAAATCTGCTGTTTAATATATCCATTAAGTGTTTAAAATTTCAGTATTTTTTACTTCCAGAAGTCTTACTTTTTAACCTTTAAAATATTCCTTCAGAGTATTTTATTTTATTCTTATGTTTTGAATTCTTTATTTTGTATTTATAATCTCACAGGTAGAGATATGTCTACATGTGCATGTCTATATATCTATTCAGTATATCTGTGTATACACACATAGGTATTTTGAATGGTTTCTAGCTGATTATTCATTATCGGAAGTTCACGGGGGCCGTTTAGTCCTAGCAGTTGCTGTGTGTACTGTTATCTCGGAGACCGCGGTGGACTTTGCTCCTGGGTCCTGCAGTTCTGCACTGTGAACTCCTCTTCAGCAGGCCTTTATGTTGGGAACGCTGTGAGACCCGGATGGAGTGCTTCGTGCTAATGATGTTCTGTTTACTTATACTAGGATCCCAAGGGGGGTTCTTATCAGCTTAGGACTATATTTTACTCCTTTTATTCTTTTATTAATAGTTTTGAATAGTTAACATAAATTACAACATTAAAAAGGAAGAAAAGGGAATATAATAACACCTTTTTCCCATCTCCACCCCATTCACCCAGTTCACTTTTCCAGATATAACTATGGATGGATTCTTGTTGCGTCTTCCATTCATTCATGGAGATATTAACAAATACGGAGTGTCTAATATGGGCCAGACATTGTGTTAGAAGCATGGATACGTCAGTGACAAAACACTCGAAAATCCCTGCCTCCAGAGAGCTTCTGTGAGTGTGTACGTGTGTGTGAGTGTCAGTGGTAGAGGAAGACAGTCAAGAAATAAACACAGCGAATAAGTCAGTTGTATAATGTGTTTGAAGATGAGAGCGATATGGGAAATGAAACAATGAAACAGTGTTAGAAGGACCAAGACTGCTGGTACCGGGGCAGGCTGCATACAGTATTAAACAATGTGCTCGGGCAGGCTTCTTTGCTGAGATTTTATCAAAGATTTAAGGAGACAAGGGAGTTAGCAAGTGAATAACAGAGATGCAGGTTCCAAATCAAGGGGACAGCAAGAATACGCAGTATAAGGTAGAAACATGCCCGGCCTGTTCCGGGAGTAGCAGGTTGCCTCGTTCGTGTGCTGGAGCGAAGTGAGGGAATGGGAGCAGTAGGAGAGCAAAATGTAGAGGGGCACAAATGAGATAGGCTCTGGTAGGTCACTGTGAGGTCACTGGCTTTTTTTACTTTGTGAGAGTGTCTGTGTGTTTGCTTGCTGTTCAGGTGAAGATGTTTTATTTTTATGTTTTCTCCAGCCAGTTTATCTCATTGCACTTAAGAAAGAAAAAGAAAAGCTATATTTAATTTTGTGCCAAGTATAAAAGAATACCCAGTAGCTTCCATTTCTTAATTAGGTTATTACTATTAATTTCTATTCTGTTGGTATAAAAATATTTTCTGAAATATCCCCAACAAAACTGCCAGCACACTTAGAAACCCAAACATGACCCAGGCCGCCCCGCAGCTGAGACGGAGGGATTCCGGGTGGTGCTCCTGTGAATGGCAGCACTGCAAGGGCAAGTTCCTGGAAGACTATCAACCTTCGTTTTCAGCACAAGAGAACCTCCCGTTTCATGGGGCACTTTTCACAGTGTTAAGAAACAACCACCTGGTCTGCTTGATTAAAACCGGGGCAAAGGACGAAGTTTATGGAGAGCAACCATTGACAAAAAGTGCCCCACGGACGGCACTCTGACCGAGAAGGTACAGGGACATATGGCCAAATCTTCACCTCTGTAAATGTGTCAGGAATTGACATGGAACTTTGATTTATTGATTTTTTTTAGGGAGTCCAGCTTTCATTTTTCCCCTTCCACAAAGCAAAGTAGAAGAAATAATAATACAAGATTAAAACCACAAAAATAGTTAAACTGGTAGAACATGTATCCAGAAAGAATCCAGCTGTGAGGACAGGCTTATTTACAATGAGGAAACAGATGTCAATGAGGGTAGCTTGTAGTTTTTATATGAAGCATTATGAACACAAATACATGTGGTATGGGTGTCACTCTTTATAGCAATGTAGAAGGAGAAGAACAACACTTATTTAGGGACAGATATACGACAAGGTCAAGGTTTTACAGCACCAATGCAATATATTCACAGAACTTTATTGCGGCTAGTTAATTAGAGGTTAAGACCTGTTCCAAATATGTCACATTTCTGGCCCTTAGAGGTTCATTCCACAGACTTCAAATACTCTAAACTTTGAACTACTGAGAGGGAGAGTGACTCTGTGACG